ACTTTTTTTCCTCGTCGCACGCCCTCAGTCTGGTGCAGCCTGACGTGGGCGCAGAGCGTCCGTCGCTGATCAGGACTGCAGCTTATTCGATGTTCGCCTCGTTGTCCGACCCAAGGCAAATCCCAAGCGAGTCAGCACCACTGGCTTAGAAGTCGAAATCTATTCAACATCGGCGGGCTTGAAAGATATAGGTCGCAAGCGGGCGTGGTGTACGGTGCCCAGTTGCTTCATTTGCTGAGAGCAAAGCGAAATTTAAGCAACAGACTCGGGTTCGACTCCCGGAGCCCGCTTAAAATGTCTTATCAAAAGCGTTTTTTTTTTTTTTTCATTCTCTCCCTCCTCGCCTCACCTCCCGAGTCGCGATTTATCCCGTATGCTCGCACTTACCCACAATCTCATCCTCCTGGATATACACAGATGCGAGCAAACACAAATAACACAAATAATCTAGTGAACACAGAGGACAGTGAAGCATATGTATCAAGCGGGCGTGGTGTACGGTGCACAGCCGCTCCCGTTCAGTACAGTCCACAATGCTTCAGTGGCAGACCCGGGTTCGTCCCGGCGCCCGCTTTCGTGCTGTTGGAGGACCTTTTTTCCCTCTCGTCGCACGCTCTCAGACTAATGCAGCATGACGTGGGCGCAGAGAGCCAGTCGCTGATCAGGACTGTCTGACATGTCAGACGCAAACCCCAAGCGAGTCATCACTAGACTAGCAGCCAAATTTACTCAACATCGTCGGGCTTCAGGGATGTAGGTAGTAAGCGGGCGTGGTGCACGGTGCACAGTTGCTTCATTTCATACTGAGGGCAATGGAAATTTAAGCAACAGACCCGGGTTCGACTCCCGGTGCGCGCTTAGACTGTATTGTCGAAATCCTTTTTTTTCACTCCCGCCCTCCTCGCCTCACGTCCCGGGGCTCACGAATCGCGATTTAGCCAATATCCTCGTAGTTACCCTCAATCTCACCCTCCTGGATATACGGAGGCGACTTAACACAATAAATACAGCCAGCACAGAGGACATCGAAGAATAGGTATCAAGCGGGTGTGGTGTACAGTACACAGCCGCTCTCGTTCACTGCAGCCCACATTGCTTCAGCGGCAGAACCGGGTTCGACTCCCGGCGCCCGCTTTCATGCTGTCCCAGGAGCTCTTTTCCCTCGCGTTGCACGCTCTCAGGCGGGTGCAGCCTGACGTGACGTGGGCGCAGAGAGTCCGTCGCTGATCGGGACTGTAGCTCATTCGATGTTCTCCTAGTTGTCAGTAAGGGCTTAACCCGCTTTAAACCAGCGCTCGTTAAAACGTACTTAGATTAACCCAACGTAAACTTGTGACAGCAGCTGGAGCTCGAGAGCGCGTCGAAGTCACAATATCTGTTTCGTCAATTTCTTGTCGGGAACGGCGTGATTTCGAAGCAGTTGGGCCTGGTTCTAACAATAGTTCGACAGCTGGAGAAGGGGCCGGCGGTGACTCGAGGGGCAAGGGCAATGGGTCAACGGATGGCCCAGCCGAAGTGAAGGTACCGAAATTGGCGGCAGTGGCGCCGAGGTCAGTAGAAATAACAGAGATCCATTCCTCGGCCAATCTCAATTCAAAATCACACTACTACTCGGCCGATCCGTGTCATCTATCGTTGTTTCAACGGTCGGGGTGTGCATGTGTGCTGGTTATCAAATTTATTTCATTTATTTTGTGCCTCACCTTTCGGTAACTAATGGAGATTCGCACTACCATCACCAAATATGGCGGGCAATGGCTGCCGGCCATTACGTCTGATGTCACCCACCTCATCGTTGAGATATCAAAACCCAGCTTCGATTTCCAGCCATTGCGAAGATGCGATGATTTATCCGGCTCTGCCAGGAGGAGAGCCCTTTTTTGCACATGCACGCCCATCAGTGTGTCTTTTCATCTACAGTGGATAATTGTCCAAATCTCTGTGAAATGACGTACCAGCCCAGCTTTCACTCATCCAGAATGGATAGCAGGAGCGCGCTAACGAACAGGACAGATGGTATGTAGGCAAAAAAAGAAAGGACCAAAAGGACAACCAAACAACAGACGTGAGAGGTATGAAGGAGATATCAACAGAGAGAGAGAGAGAGAGAGAAGGGAAGAGAATGAAGACGTGTGGGGCGAGGAACCGAGGCCAAGCACGGTCGTGCATGCTGCTCACCAAACACACTCACTTCTCACCCTTCACTAATTACTCCACATCGCCTCCGCCGCATCCACCTTCCAGGTAGGTAGGTAGGTATGATTACACGGCACGGTCCGAAAAAATCCGCCTCAGGGTCTTCTTTCCCCTCCGCATCTCTCCGCGACGGACTGTGTCTGCTATGGCTCCCGGCGCTGCTCAAGCGCGGCACGGCGCTCGAGGCGCTTCTTTTTTTTCTGCATCTGGGGGGGAGGAGTAGGAGGGTCAGCGTGCGTAGAAGGAGGATATGGCAAAATGTACAAGGACAGCGGGAGAAGGAGGAACACGACTCACCGATCACACTGCGTGCCCGGCCCCAACGGCCCCGGGCCCCACTTCTCGACGCACTTTCCCTCCTTGTAGCGCCCCGGCAGCCCGCAGTTCCGGCAGATGCGCTGGTTTAGCGCGTTCGCGGGCGGGAAAGGGGGCGTCGCAGGGACTTCGCTGATCGTTGTTGGTTCGACGCCGTTGATTCGCACAATGTCTCCCTGACGCGCATGCGGGTTCCCCGGATAGTATTCGAGAATGTCTTCACCGAAGAGGGGTGGGGGTGGTTTAAAGAAGCGCTTAGAGACAATGAGCTCCGTGTGGTTAACTTAGCGAGAGTGGGGACGGACTTGTTCTGATTGAGGAATATGATAGGGACTGACGAAACGTCTTCGCGGAATTCCCGGTAGCAGGGTAGCACGCTGGCGTCGAACGAACCGCGTGGGGCCTGTGCTGGACTCGATCTGCGATAAACCTATTACAGTAGAATCCTTGAAGGAGGGGTCTTGGACCGTCCAATCGAACCGGGACTCGGTTAAATGATCGGGCCCTGGGGCTCCATTCCGGCCAGAGAGTTTAGGAACATGCGGGTAGTGGATTGCACCAGCGCTTTGTATATTATCTGCCCAAACTTGAATATCGTGAACAGCGAGGTTCGATCCAGGCGGCGAGCCGGCGGATGCGCAGATCGATGATGTGTCAGATCCAGAATATATCGACTTGTTACTTGTTAGCGACCTTGTTGAGGAGTATCATTGATACTTCACCTCGTTAAGGGATCTGAGTGAGTGATTGGATTGTTGTGTTAAGCGTTTCTTGGACCTGACTTCCTTCCTCTTCCTTAGTTTAGTTGGGAAATTGAACCATGAAGTGTTCTTGTAGCTCTGAATGCTTTCATGATATTCGTCTTCCCTTTTAACGGCTCTGAGAAGTACATATTTAGTCCTCGCTCAAGGGGCGAGGTTTCGTACGCACTCATCTCTTGCGCTCAAGAAGTCCGTTTCCTCATCCGGTGTAACGTCCCCGCTCCGGATGTTCGTCAGGAAGTCATCCATGTTTCTCCTCGTTTCCATGAGCTCCTGGCGATAGCTACTCTCATGCCGTTTCGTGAAGCCAGACCCTGTCGTGAGTGCCGCTGCCCCGACTGTTGCAGCGGCTCCGACCAGTCCCACGACGACCTCAGCCATGTTTTCGAGTGCAGATGTGGGATGGAGCGTGGTGGACAAGTGCGGTGGATGAAGAGAACAGCTGTCAATAAGCTGTTGAAGCCACGTTGCATCCGCCAGGCATCACCTTTCCCAGCGCTTCGGGACATGGAAGAACAAAATGGAAGACCGGGAAGTGCTCGGGCCGAGTCCTGCCAAAATTAGGATACTGATCAAGGGGCCTCGGGCCGGCCAAGCCGACACCGCGCCACGCCGAAGGAGTTTTTTTTTTCATGGACCCAATTTTACATGTAAATTAATGGGTAAAATATGTATGTGACATGGAGGTCCTCCTATCGGTGGCTGCCACAGCCAGGTTCTGAACTTGGCTGAACCTGACAATAAGATGTACATAGAATGGTGCTCAACACTTTATTTGTTAACAGTACAGTGAGTAGCCACTCCGTCCAACGAAGTCAAGAAACACTTGCCGAATTTTTACTATTGGGCGTTTGAATAAAACAGTAAAAACCTCAATGCTTCGGACAGGATAGACTACCATTACCACGATCAATTGGACGAACTTCGTCGATTTCCGAAGGTATCCCATGGGCGGGTGAGTTTTTATAGTTGAAATGAGGAAATCACCAATGTTCGGGAGGGGTCTTGAAAATTTTGAGCACTCATGGTGCGTGGGAAGAAAAAATAGGTTCGAACCTGGACCGAACCACAATGAACCTGAACCTGTGTGGTCTGGTCCAAGGTTCAGCAATTCCTCTGAACCAGACCCGAGAATTCGGAAACTTTGGGCATGAACCGGACCGGGGCAACAGGTTTAACCACCGTGCGAGCGACCGGCTGACCCCGCAGGCAACAGATCCCGATGTGATAGATGCGACAAAGGTGATATTTTTGATTCCTTGTGAAGCTGTGGCGGTTTTTTACATGTTTTACATTGTTTTTTGCACCCGTTTTTTACATGTAAAATGCGTAAATTTTCTCCATGCTACGCGCGGTCTACCTTACTATTTTACACTGTGAAAATGCCTCACACTGGCACTGCGGAGCCAAATAATAATTTACATGGCCGGAGACCAATTTGTACCGTACACAATTCCTCCCATTACCATTGTGTGATTTGTCACTCAGAATGCTCAATTAGCAGAACTGGGCTCGACTCCCGGCGCCCGCTTAAACAGCGTTGTCAAAACCCTTTTTTTCTACTCCCTCCCCCTTGCCTCACGTCCCGGGGCTCGCGAATCGCGATTTAGCCAGCATCCTTGTATTTAGCGTGTATTTAGCATCAATCTCCTATCCTCCTGGACATACGGATGCGAAGAAACACAAAAAATTTAGTCAACACAGAGGACACTGGTGCATAGGTATCAAGCGGGCGTGGTGTACGGTGCACAGCCGCCCCCGTTTTCTGACAAATCCACGACACTTCAGTGGCAGCCCCGGGTTCGATTCCCGGCGCCCGCTTACGCAGAATTGGCGAAATCCTTTTTTTTCACTCCTTCCCTCCTCGCCTCACGTCCCGGGCTCGCGAATCGCGATTCAGCCAGCATCGTCGTATTTACCCTCAATCTCTCATCCTCCTCGATATACGGATGCAAGTAAACACAAAAATCCAGTGGACACAGAGGACACTGAAGCATCGGTATCAAGCGGGCGTGGTGTACGGTGCACAGCCGCTCTCGTTTAGAGTCCACAAGGCTTGCGGCAAGATGTGTAAATTTAGAAAAGATGCTCTTTCTTGTCACTGGACAGGGACTGCTGAAAGTTCATCTTTCAGCAGTCCTTTCATAGCTAGCTACAATCCATAAATCTATCGGTTTCAAAACAGCCGCTGATTGCCGCTACTTCCATTGCAGTCTTGTATTAAATGAATATATCGAATTTCTACAATGTTTTGTTTGTCTCTCGATTTATCTCCTTTCAGCTAGCCTCTTGACATATGTCAAGATTTTGCTTTATCCGGTGTGCGGGCATGCAGTGGTACTACGTTCCCGACCGCGCCCCATGGCCGTAGTGGTGGCACGACGTTCTGCACAGCCACGCCGACTGATGCGCATCACCAGTCACGCCTTCTTTCAGGCGACCACCACCACCGGCCAACTGGAGCATTCCTCGCAAGCTCAACTGACCTCAATCCCGCGTCTCGGGCCTGGACCAATCTTGCCGCTTGCGAGAAACATCAAGATTCAAGATTGAGCAATATGGAGGTTTTCTTGCGCCGATGCCCGTGACATGGGAAGGTGCCAAAAGGCAGTGCGGGCTGCCACTCTCTCTTTGCTACCACCACGATCGCCGACGATACCATGGGAACGGGCCCTGCTTTCCCGCGCGACCTCGAGCTCGAAATCTTCGAGACGACAGCCCTGATTCACCCAGGTACTATCCCAGCCCTCTTGCGAGTCGCCCGCCGCATTCATATCTGGTTTGCTTCGTTCTACTCCAAGGATGCGCGAGATGACTTGGTTTTGACACAGGATCGAGCCGTTCCTGTACAGAGTAGTCAGTGTCGGAGGAATTTCCCCATTCTCCGACATGGGCCGTGCCATTCTTCGCGCTACAAAATCCAAGCCGGCCAGTTTCTTCCACAATGCTGTCCGGCATCTCTGCCTGGACTCATCTGCTTCCTGGACATTCCAGGAAGCGGTGGAAGTCCTAAAGCTCTGCACAGGACTTGTGGAATTCGCCTCTGATGGAGATTTCCTCCATCCAACACTGCTCCCAATCCTCGGGAAATTGCCCCTGCGCCGCCTCTCCACTGACCTATATCGGTTGTTCGATGGATACGAGTCGATCGATCTCACACACCCGGCTTTTGTGTCTCTCACCCACCTCGAGATCCTGGACCCGATTTACGACGACGACACACGGATAATCAGCCACTTCCCGGCACTGCCCGCCCTCACCCACTTGCGTTTGAGCGATAACGTACCTTGGAAGCATGTCGAAACACTCCTGGCGGACTGCCTCCGCCTTGAGGTTTTGATCAGCTTATTCCCAACAATGAAGGCTCCCTGGGCTGTCCAGCGGGCACGGATGTGTCCGATCCACGACCCACGTTTCGTGATTACAATCTACAGGAGCTCTCCGGGACGTTGGGCGGTTCACCAGCGTCGCCCGAGCACTTGGTCGTTGGCCAAGGACTTTGTTTCCGCCAGGCGAAGTGGAGCCGTTCATCGTAAGCGGGCGTCCTTGTTGGATCCGATTATCTTCTGAAACCAAATCTAGCGAGCTGTTGCCTGTTGAACCCCGAGAACCCTTCCTCCGCCTCGCAATGATCCGGATATTCCTTTTGTTCAGCAGGAACCGAAGGCAGGAAGCGCTTAAAGATGAGGGGAATTGATTATGATTTTGCAGAGCGCGTGTCTGAGTGCATTGCGGGGCTGATCGCCTGCAGGAGAGAAAGCTCACGACGAAAAAGTCTCCGAATTCGCTATGTCTCGGACCCGGATCGAACGGGAGCCTTCCACAGACTATCTCAAAATAAGCCAAGTGCAGCGGATGTAATTCGATTTCACCTCGCACGGGGTGTTAATTCGCGAACGTAGATGATCTCGTGCGGCGGTCTCGCGTCCCACCACCGAGAGCACACGGCAGCTGATCATGTAGTACACACCTTGCTTGACGTCGTCCAGCTGAACGCACAATCAAACCAGTGCCGATGAGCTGAGATGAGACGAGGGGAGGCGCACCGTAAAAAGAAACAGCGGCAAGGGCGCCGAGTCCGAATCCGACTCTCCGCAGTTTTATTTGTAGAACATGGTGTAAGTGTGGACGTGCGAACGTGCGGACGTGTGGGGTTGGTGGATTGGAGATGCTGTGCCCGAATATTAGTCACGATAGAGGACGCATCTTTTTACACGTCCGGTCCGCCGCATACGGGGCGCCTGAGCAAAAATGAAGGATTAATCGAGTGGAGAACCAGCTGCGGCATTACCGACTTGTGGAGCCCACCGGGAGTCTATACATGCATGTCCCGATGGCACACGTCGTCGTGGTCAGCCCCGAATCGCTTCACTGCCACGGAGGAATGGATGGAATGACACGCAGCGCCGCGGTCGCAGGACTACAGATATACGTTCACTCTGGGAAGGGATGGGAAATACACATTTGAGTGGCGCCGGCTTGCATGCATCTGGGGACGTGAGCTTGAGAGAAGCGCGCGCAAAGTTACTTACTAATCCATCCGGTATCACGGCGTGCGAAGCGCGAGCTCTCTGGCACCGGCGCAAAGAAAGAAAGAAAAACACGAATCGACGAGGCTGGTCAAGAACGAACTGTCTAACCATGAGGACGTCGTCCGCCGTGGACAGGGGAGCACATCGCATATGGTACAACCGGTTCACGGCCACTCCGAGCCTGAGCCGGAGTCTCCAGCGGAGGAAGAAGAGTGGTGTGGGGAGCGAGGAAGTACGGGTAGGGTAGGGTCGGTTCGTCGCTCACGCATCCGTCGTCGAAGGGCGTCGAAGGCGGAGGTGCGGGCGGGAGGGGCGAGAATCCATATCAATCCACCGGCAGTAGTCGGCGTCGCAATCGGCGTAGTACGATTGGGAGGGAAGGGATCGGTTACGTAGATTCGTGGGGGGTAGGGGAGAGTGAAAGTCGAAGTCGAAGGATTAGGGAGCAGGGGGCGGGGCGCGGGCACGAGGGGCGCGAACGCGAATCCATCGCATCATCTAACCCCAAATCCCTGATGAAGTCCTCGAAGAAGGGTGCGCAAGCGCAAATACCGCACCGCGGTACAGACCTTGGCACCTCGCAGCGTGGTCCAAGGTCGGCTCGCCATTGACGACGGGCGGGGTGGCCAGACAATCTACGTACTTTATTGAATTAGATTGGAGTGGACCGTGCGCGACGGAGGGCGTATACGTGCACGCCTGCTGAGGATATTAATCGGAGTGGGACGCGGGGCGCGGGACATGCGGTACGGGCGCACACAGTGGCGAGTAGCGTGAACGGGCGCGTCCCATGGCGCCGGAGCGGTGTATAGCGCTGACGCGGACGCGGACGCTACAGATCAGATGCTGGGCACGCATGCTCTCGCCGCGGCATCCAATCTGCGCTCACGCGCACCGGAGACAAGCAATTGTGCTGTGTGCTGTGACCGACGCCATCGCCTACTGAGCGCGAGAGGCCACCGCCTGCTGGGAAGCATATTGAGCACGAGAGAACGACTAGGAGAGGCTGGAGAGACGCGACAGAGTCGGGATGCCGCGGGACATGAGGATGAGAAGGAGTATAGTGTTTAGAGCGTGAGAAGGCGTAGCGCGCCGACGGAGTCAACGTAGCACAGCCGACGCAGTCAACGGAGCGCAAGTGCGCATGAGAATGGCCGCGAGACAAGAGCTCGAGACGGAGCCTGAGCACTAGCACGTGGATACCGGATAGTTTGCACGACTCGCACCAAGGGACCGAAGGAGGCGAACTTGGTCGGAGGGATCTGCGGCGAAGGCCAAGTAGCGACGTCAGCGTAGGAGTCGTTGTTAGTGGGCGGGAACGTTTCGGAGATGCGAGCGGGCAAGACGCAGAGTCAAAGACAAGAGGTACCCGCCGGAGAATGCCGAGACATTAAGTAAGAGAGGAGGGGGGGTCTCGAGGTCCTTATTTCACTTTTTGGAAAAAGCTGCAGGACCACACAAAAACATGTTTAAGACAATTTAAAAAAATCCCTTTTTTTCCCTTTTCTTTAAGCGGCTGTAGGTCCTCGGGAGCAAGTTTGGTGTCACCCATCCCCATCCATATCGCATCCGGCGATAGCTGTGATGCTAGATCCACCAATGTGATTGACATCAATGCCAAGCACATATCCTTGTCTCTTACCACCATCATGCCGAGCGCTCACAATTTTATCCAGGACAAAGACTGCAGTCGATGTGGATTTCAAGCACGTATCAAAGCGGATGCAGCGTATGATGCAACAAGTGGCCCCCTGTGCCACCATGGGGTGTACAAGGAGCCAGAATTCAGAGATGCTCGAGTGCGCTGAGCCAAGGTTCTTGATTCTGATTATATGTTTATATAACCCAACTTATATGCTTAAAATTGTGGTTGAACTAGCTAGAACCCGTGCTTCGCCACGATCAAATATGCCGTGACAGCAATCGGTTGTCAATTTCGGACACTCGTCACCAACCTCTGGTTCCTCGTGTCCTCCGTTCAGATGTCTGGCAAGACTTTCAACAAACAAATAGGTAAGCCATATAGGCCTCGGACATAGTTTTCACAATCATGGCTGCTCACAGGAACACATGCTCCCTAACTTACCATTTCCAATGCCATCGTAAACTCTGAGTCAGGTCTTATAGAAATCTATTTTACTGGTCGTCACTTCTTGAGCAACCTGCAGTTAGTTCCTCATGTCCTCTGTCCTGATTCCCGTTGAAGCATCATAAGCGGCTGTTGAAGAATCATGAGCAACCAATCAGTATCTGTTTAATTCTCAGCCAGAAATCTGCTTCAATTGACATCAGTGAACTTGTCAGCGAACATTCATCACAAACCTGTGGTTGGTTTCTCGTGTCCAATTTCCAGATTTCATCCGAAAGTCACAATGAACAGAGAAAGATGTCTCTTAGTGAATTAATCATGTGCCCTCCTCAAAGCTCGTAGTTATGGGGTTAAAAAGGTCTAGAAGTCATAGTTAAACATGAGGATGTCAAGTCTGACTCAAGTTGTTGTATGTCTGCATTCTTTGCTTGTTGAAGGCCGATGAAGATGTCAAGATGTCAAAGAAATATCATATTTCGATGTGAGATAAAGATAGGACGGAAGTATGACGGAATGCGACGACGGGCAGTCGAGAAGATGTTGTCTGATGTATGTTGTCTGATGTTTGTCCCATGTTTGTCTCAGCATCTATCTTGTAGACAAAGATCACATGATTCACTTTCTTTTGTATAGTAGATGTGCTGGCCCAGCTTGCGGCTCAAAGGTTCGTGTAGACTCACCGGACGCAGCTTAATCCGTGTCTATTCCCAAGTTTCATTTGTGTTGCACGGGGTTGAAAACTCCTCCTTCCAAGTGGTACTGTGATGATGAGTGCCGCACAAATGCTGGCGGAAGGGTTTGTAAAAAGCATCACTCTGTATACTAGGGGAGAATATGGGGGATTTCTAGGAGCCGAACTGTTTCTATTTTGCTGCGCAAATAATTACTTCAACACCGAGGACGAAATTACCGCTTTTGGAAGGCACGTGCGCTTATGTAATGCTTATGTAAAGAGGGAGGGAGGGGGGGCGAGGAGCTTAAGTCAGTTTTTATACCTAGTGTGCCAAATTTCTCAGGTGGGTACCTCTTGGTCAAAGACTCAAAGCGCCACTGATCGCATCATCAGCCCGCGGCTCCGAACGCTCCTTCTTACCACCACCTTTCGTTCGTCGTTCGCGCTTCCTCCAGCTAATATCTGCCTCGAGCTGATTACTATCTTTTGCATAAGTCCGTGAAAACACGGAAAAAATCTGCGCCGTCACGTGCGGACCAATGGACACATGAGACGTCAACAGACTACGGAGGCTACTTAAGTCCGGGCATTCAACACTGAAGGTCAACATGGTCTTCAAACCCCAATAATACAGAATTTCAACTGATCAATGGCTCCGGCCCTCAGCTCATGGCTATGCTGGTCCATGACTGCAGTGCAAGCTCTAGAATGTCACTCAAGGTGGGGGGGAAGACCTTCAATTTGGGCCTTTTTAGTGCCTCCATATCTGCATTCCACACTTCGAGCTTTCAAGATCCAGCTCGATGCCAGGCACATGCCGGAGCCCATCAGCGGCCATCGAACAACCTTTTACCGGGAAGCAGTGGTCGAAGCAGCAGATGGACTTGTTCAATAACCATTGACCACAATTACTTGTCACTAATTATCATACTGAGTGGGCTATATTTTCATGCCAATCAGTCTACGTGGTCGCATCATCCGTGCCGTTTGAAGTCCGCTCAATCATGTTGATGCCGCTGGTGCCGCCTCCGGCACTGATCCCTGTCAACTTGCGATTCGGGCCAGTTCTCTCCATTCCAAAATGCTCTCGTTAAAATTGAACAGATATGAATTTAGTATCTTCAAACTCGCCGTTGACTGGCGCACTATATTTCCGACCTGCACGTGACCGGCATGAATGGCATGTTGCACAGTGCACTGCCGCCATCAGCGGCCATTTCCCGCTCAAGCCTCATTTCACACACCACTCAGATTCAAGTCACTATGTCCTTAGTGCCGAGAGGCTAGTCTAACTTACAGAGTACAGCTTGTACTCTGTAAGTTACAAGAGTGCCCGAGATGGCCTGCACGTGATAGCACATTTTTTTTTCGCGTTTTCACGGACTTATGCAAAACGCAGTAATGATTCCCTGCACCTCGCTCTCATGCCAGCGTCACTAGCTCAATTTCGCCGCTTACATCCCGAACGCGTCGCCACAGCACTACTACTCCGGGTGCCCGTTATCTCGTCTGCGTTTGATTCAATCTAGGGAGGACGCGACCGCAATACATGGTATCAATGCGAAGTGTAGCAGTATTGAGGTAGCAGAAGCAGGTTGACCCCCGTTGCAGCCCGCCCGTCCATGGAATTTTGGTTGCTTTTTGTTCCTTGCTCTGAGATGAAATGCCAGCTAGCGAGCATGATGATAAAGTTGAAAAGATGAACACGGACAAACATCAGTCTCTTCGTTATTTATCAGACCCAGGAATTAGAATCTCTGATGCAACAAATAGTCACCTATCTCGCATGATCAAATGGGCCTCGAAATCGACCAACATCGACGAGGTTATATTCGAGGTAGCAAGCGGGGGTGGTGTATGGTACACAGCTACTTGCATTCACTGCGTTCGCTAATCCATCGTTCTTCAGTAGCAGAACCGGGTTCGACCCCCGGCCCCCGCATGGTCCATTGGGATTTGGCTTTTGTCTTTGGTTTTTGTGAATTGAAACAAAAGAAAACACAATTTTGCTTGCCAAATTGTTTCAGAGCATCAAAATTGGTTGGGGACAGTGGAAGGTATGTGTGACAAATACAGGAACTCCAGGAGACAGGGTCCAGTAGCAGACCCAGAATTTAAGGCACCAATTTACGAGTACTTATGTAATCGTTTATAATCAATCGAAGATGAGGTTTTTGCGCACCTCTTCACATCATGCCCCCGTTTATTTGTGTAAAGAAATTAGGGGCTGTGCTAATGAATATAGCGGCTGTGTTGAAGGGAGCATAGTGGCAGTGCTTAAAAAGACTTCAAATTTTGTGATGATTTAGTGGCGGTGTTTGCTTGTGTAATCAGCCCACCTTTAGCGTGGGTTCGACCCTGTCCACCCTCAGCCTTTTCATCTGTTGGGGTTCAATCAAAGATCGAACATTGGGTGGCTATGGCATTTCCCTGTCTAGCCTGTCACCTTCCTCATGAACGGCTGTGTCCTTCACCCCATTCTACCGCTGTTGCCCCCCAGCCTATCGAGCCTTCAGTATTGATCCCAGTGATGAATGCTAAATATGACATCCTCGTCAACTCGAAGTGCGTACCTTCTCCCCGAGCCCGATAGGTTCCTGACTTCATCTTCTTGCAGTGCTGTCAGTCGAGCAGAAAGCTTGAGCGGGTTGGGAGAGTTTTGCGCTACCATTTTTGGAAGCCTCTCTAGTAAAGTCGCATCTATTCCACGCTTTATTGATTCATTTTACGTAGTTCTGTGGTCCGCTCCCGTTGAAAAAATCATCTTAGAAGAGTCATGCCCTGCCCCTGAATCAATTGTTGCACCCCCACCCACAAAATAAATGAATAATTCAGTGCAGGCGACAAAATACTTGCTCAAACGCAACCGAGCCTGGATTCGAGCCAAGGTTTGTTTCCTTTCACTGAGAGGTTTCTGTTGTAGCCTTTTATAATTTCTACATTCTGGCGATGTTTTGTGTTCAATGCCGCGAATATAATGTCTTTTGTTCCTTCTTTCCGCGTGCTGAGATGCTGTCAAGTTGCTATGGTCGAGTTGGTTGGAGGTCTTGGGCCTACATTTCTACGCTACTTCCGCCATCGCTGAAATACGAACAACTATTTAAAAAAAAGTACATAAGTATGAGTTTTGCCGGGCATCGCCTCGGCCTTCACCCCCAAGTGCAAAATAATCCAAATCACTGAGATGGACATCAAATTCTACATACCAGACAGGAGGTTAAATCGGACATGGCAAGTGGGCTTCACGATTGCATTTGGTTCTTTTCAACCTGTGTGTCTAGCAACCGACTCCCGGCGCTCGCGTAGTTCCGAGTTAGGGATTTTTGGTAATCACTCTGCAAAATAGCTTTTAGGTCCGCAATTGGTGTGGTAGATATAGTGGGGAGCTGGTCTGCTGTCGCATTCCACCAACTCATACCCACTCGGCTTGTTGAGAAATAATTCGGGGCGTATTAGGCCGGAAGAATGTGGCTGCATAGGGAAGATTAAAGGATACACTGCGTTCAGACCCCCCCGTAGGCACAGGTCTGCCGGATCCCAATAGGCAGATGTGTAGGCCGGCCAGTGCGCCGAGCCCTGCCGAGCCCTGTCGAGGAGTTGGTCTAGGTGTTCCAGCAGGAATAGGCACACATAGAATAACGTGGGCCGATGAGCCTAGCTAGGAAATTCGAGACCCGGCATGGTTCCTCTTTTCACCCGCCACCAACCTGGACTCGGATCGGCCAAGGTCGGCCAAGATAGGCGCACCACTGTCGACCGAGATCGTCCAATGTGGGCAGGCCTCGCGTAGGCAGATGTGCTAGACCAACATCGGCCAACGTAGGCTTACGTAGTCATACCTCGGCAGAGATCGGCGTACGTAGGCACATCTGTGCCTACGGGGGGTCTGAACGCAGTGATAGGGAGGGAGCGGGCGTGGTGTACGGTAACACAGTTCCTCTCACTGTGTGATCTGTCACTAGGAATGCTCAAGTAGAAGACCCGGGTTCGATTCCCGGCGCCCGCTTAGTATTGTTGAAATCCTTTTTTTCACTCCCTCCCCCCTCGCCTCACATCCCCAATCGCGATTTAGCCAGTATTCTCGCATTTACCCTCAATCCCTCATCCTCCTGGATATACGGATGCGAGTAAACACAAAAACCTAGTGAAAACAGAGGACACTGAAGCATAGGTCTCAAGCGGGCGTGGTGTACGGTACACATCCGCTCCCATTTAGAGTTCAATACAGTCCACGACGCTTCAGTGGCAGACCCGGGTTCGACTCCTGGCGCCCGCTTAAACAGCGTTCTCAGAAGCGTTTTTTTTTTCTTCACTCCCGCCCTCCTCGCCTCACGTCGTAGGGCTCGCGAGTCACAATTTAGCCAGTACTAGCAGTAACCCGTGTTACGCTACGGACTCATCAATATTAGAGAACAACACAGAGTTACATCGGACGGAGAAAAAATTAGTGAATCCCCACGGTGGAATTTAATCATGCCGCTCGTCACCAACCTTCAGTTGGTTCCTCGTGGCCTCAGAGGCAGCTCTCCAGGGTCTTATATGATGGATAGAAATCCCGACAGCCCCCTGCCAATTTGCTCATTTACAGTTCAACTTTGTGCGGAGGTAACATTCTGTGCGCTAAGTATGATCCCAGGGTCAACAGGGTCAACAAAATTCTTACATGTCATCTGTTCCAAGAGACCATTGATCCTTGGCATATTTATTCCAGTCCACAAGCTGTGGAGTTGTTGTACCTCCGGTGAGAATTTTCAACATCTGAACAATTCACTGCGTTCAGACCCCCCGTAGGCACAGATGTGCCTACGTACGCCGATCTCTGCCGAGATATGACTACGTAAGCCTACGTTGGCCGATGTTGGTCTAGCACATCTGCCTACGCGAGGCCTGCCCGCATTGGACGATCTCGGTCGACAGTGGTGCGCCTATCTTGGCCGACCTTGGCCGATCCGAGTCCAGGTTGGTGGCGGGTGAAAAGAGGAACCATGCCGGGTCTCGAATTTCCTAGCTAGGCTCATTGGCCCACGTTATTCTATGTGTGCCTATTCCTGCCGGAACACCTAGACCAACTCCTCGGCAGGGCTCGGCGCACTGGCCGGCCTACACATCTGCCTATTGGGATCCGGCAGACCTGTGCCTACGGGGGGGTCTGAACGCAGTGATTATATATAGAAATGGGACATCTCGGTGGATAACTCGCTATTTGGGTGGAGCAAAGGACCGGGTGACATCATTTGGAGCTTTCGAAGCGAGTTGAGGAGAAGACAAACGTCCCAACAGCCAATCAGGTTTATCGAAAGTCAAAGGTGTTCGATTGTAATATAGATCCTCGTAGTTACCCTCAATCTCTGGATATACGGATGTGAGTAAATACAAAAAATCTAGTCGACACAGAGGACACTGAAGATGTATCAAGCGGGCGTGGTGTACGGTACACATCCGCTCCCGTTTTCTGAAAAATCCACTATGCTTCAGTGGCAGACCCGGGTTCGATTCCCGGCGCCCGCTTTCATGCTGTTCCAGGAGCTTTTTTTCCCTCGCGTTGCACGCTCTCAGGCTGGTGCAGCATGACGTGGGCGCAGAGAGTCAGTCGCTGATCAGGGCTGTAGCTCCGAGTCACTCAATGTTCTCCTAGTCGTCTGACCTCTGACATATCAGACGCAAATCCCAAGCGAGTCATCACCACTACATTAGAAAGTCAAAATTTACTCAACATCTGCGGGCCTGATGGATGTAGGTCGCAAGCGGGCGTGGTGTACGGTGCACGGTTGCTTCATTTCATACTGAGGGCAAAGCAAAATTTAAGCAACAGACCCGGGTTCGACTCCCGGCGCTCCTCTTTTTTTTTTTGTCTCCCTGAGTCACACTCGCTGCTCGGGATTCGGGAGATGCGAGCAGCTCAGTGGTATCCGCCCAAGGAAATTCCCTTTTTTTAATGCCCACAAGTGTACGGATCAGATTTGGTAGCGCATCATGATCGGTGATGTGGTCGGGTGACTGTGTTCATTTTGTGGTTCAAGCTCCTGTTCGATTGTGCAGCCACCGGTCAGATGGTCGGGTGGAAATCTCGCTCCTCTGGCTATAATTCCAGGCCACCAACGCGTCCGTAGGACTCCTGTGCATTCGGAATGCATACGGAATGCGTGTTTCGCGTCCCATGCGGATCCACCCGCGGGGAGCTCGACACTCTCCTCGCGATTGAGGAGCTGGCCGACGTCACGTTCCTGACTCTTGGAAACAAGATTGACGTCCCGGGGTAATGAGGAGGAGCTCAGGGATCATCTGGGATTTTGCCAGACGGCAGGGAAGGTCGGTTGTCGTTCTGATCTCATCGTATTTTCCCATGAACTAATCACTCTTGAAAGAGAAAGGTCCCGCTCGAGGGAATTTGACCCATCGAACTATGCATGTGTTCAGTCGTGCAGCGGCAGGGCGGACGGAGAAGGTGAGACGTTTTTGTTCGTCTTTCCAAATGTTCATGATCCAGCAGGCTTTCGATGGGAATCGCAATACGTCAGGGGTCTTCGTGTACGATATCGTTTTCCATGTCTGATTCCTGACCAGATTTGACTACGGACAGGCCCGGCAGCAAGAACAGTCCACCAACACCTTTTGCCGTGTGGTATGTTTCACTGACAGCACGGAAGTTGACGTCCATTCCTTCACTTCGACCTATATTCCCCAAATCCCCAATATATTTACATTGATATAAGTAACGGATCCCACGTTGAACTGTTCTGCTGTGCTCCCGCATCGTGTCCAATCCGCGACCGAATTGATATGTCATACAGATGCAGATGTGCTTCCAAGAAGGTATATTCTGTCGCACTCCGACCCAGCTCTCACTGGCAATGATTCCGGAGTCGCATCCCCTCGACTCGGACGCGCCTCAGCCACACATGTTGGTCCTCACGGAACTCGTCAAGGCAGACTGACGGTATGCACGTATGTTGAGTCTAGATGCCGGTGTCGCGTTGAATGCGTGGCCTCGGGAAGCACATCGCGCCCCCGGCTTATGTGTTCGACTCGCAGCATCTTCTCCCCTTCGTAATGCAGCATCTTACTTGGTAACATCTCCAGAGCTACAAATCCGTGCTTCAACTAAACTTCAACCACCCAGCGATAATTACGGCGGCCGGTATCAGGGAATCCCGCCTCGCTCTCTAGTTCCCTTGCATAGGTGCCGCAGAAATATCAGCTCGTTGGGCCTCACGGAAATTGCACTAGGGCTGGCTCATCGGCGGGAAATATTTCCTGCTTTCTGGTGTCCTCGCAGTGAGGATTGCACTGTGCTCGTAAGATTTTCTGATTCCTGAGCCCGTCCTTCAGGCCGGTACACGGGGGAATACCGCCTCGCGCTATGGCTCCCTTGCTTCTTACTGACACTGATACGCTTCACCCAAAAATGCGCCGTGTGGGTACTCCCTGTTACGATCTGTGCTTGGTCAAGGACCAGTAACTCGCAAAGTATAATTTAGATTGCTTCGAGCGTGATGATTCGGGCTTATATCTATCCTCGAGTGCTAGAGCTCGGGATACCAAAGATTTGTGGGTCGAAATGTTGCCGAACTGTGATAAAATGAGAGATGGTATTCGTACGGGCATGGGAGGATACAGGTCGGTCCTCTGCCTTCGGAAACCCATGGTGTTACAGTCAACCACTGAAGTACCCAATGGCAATAGAATATCAACTGCTTCTGGAACCTGCGTTGTCATCGCGTACAGCACGGATCGTCAATTAAATGCAGCCGTGCCAGACACCACATCCCATTGAAATATATTAAAATTCATAGCTATGTATGTGGTACAACTAGCTCCCTCACGAAACTAAGTACTTTCACAGCCATCTGGAATTCAATTGGAACCAGCAAAGCTTTGGCCTGATGGCATCAATTCAACAACATACGGGAGATAGCTCGCTCCCCCTCACTCACTTTGGGCTCTTTCCAGTCTTCGCACCATTTCGGCCAGGTTGAGGGCGGTTTGCAGTGTATCGGGATGAGACTCCCCCAATATCTGCTTGCGTTTCTGTAGGGCCTCCTCCTGGAGCTCCCGCGCATGATTGAGGTGGCCCATGTTGCAGCACGTCATTGCGAGATTGGCCATAGCACTCAGAGTGTCTGGGTGATACTGACCGAGGAGGGTTCTGCGCTTTTCCAAGACCATTTTTTCCAGTCCTTTCGCCTGCTGGAACTGTCCCAAGCTTGCATACGTCACGGCTAGCTCTGCCATAGCACTCAGAGTATCTGGGTGATCCTCACCCAGGAGTGTTCTGCGCTTGTCCAACACCTTTGTTTCCAGATTCTCTGTCTTCTTGAACTCTCCCAACTCCCTGTATGTTGCAGCGACATTGGCCATGGAGGTCAGAGTATCTGGGTGATCCTCACCCAGGAGTGTTCTGCACTTGTCCAGCACCTTCGTTTCCAGTTCTTCGGCCTGCTTGAACCGTCCCAACTCCCTGTATGTTGTGGCAAGATTGGCCATGGACCTCAGAGTATTGGGGTGATCCTTGCCCAGGAGTGTTGTGTGTTTGTCCAACACCATTGTTTGCATTTCCTCTGCCTCCTTGAACTCTCCCAAGTTTCTGTACGTCACGGCAAGATTAGTCATGGCATTCAGAGTATTTGGGTGATCCTCGCCCAGGAGTGTTCTGTGCTTGTCCAACACCATTGTTTGCATTTCCTCTGCCTTCTTGAACTCTCCCAAGTTGCTGTACGTCACAGTAAGATTAGCCATGGTGTCCAGAGTATTTGGGTGATCCTCGCCCAGGACTGTTTTGCGCTTTTCCAAGACCAATTTTTCCAATTCTTCGGCCTGCTTGAACTGTCCCAAGTTCCCATACGTCACAGCGAGATTGACCATGCTCATGAGAACATCTGGGTGATCCTCCCCCAATAATGTTCTGCAGTGTTCCAACACTGATTCTCCGAGCAACCTTGCACGGTGGAACTCACCCTTTCCTCTATATATGCTGGCCAAAGCACCTTGAATGCGGAGAGCATTGACTCCCCCCGATGCAATGGGCAGCAGGGAATTTGCCAGATCAACTCCGTCATCCCACTTCCCTTCTTCATAATATACCCTGAGACACCCGACCGCAAATGAGATGTCCCGGATGTTGGGTTGACGGTCAGACCCTTCTGTGGTCTTGAATAACAGTACATCAAGATGAGGGAAAATCTGGTGCTTGAACAAAGCATCACGCGTCGCAAAAATAGCCATCCCGACTAGTTTGTGCATGCACAGTTCAGTTGAGGAATCTGAGTTGACAGTCGT